TGGTAACATCTCTTGTATCTCGATCAGAGCGAAGATGGCGTCGAGATTTAAGACGGTGACCCTTGAAGAAGTTACGAAATTAAAAGAAGCGGCCGAAAATTATTAACAGGCACGAAGAATTCGAAAGGTATTTTTTGCGACGAAACTCAGAAAATTCCGAACTTTAACAATAATGTATGCTTTAAACGAAAACTATATCCTTCTTCATGTTCTCGGTTTTCGATAGAATAAACCAGTAAAAACAATTACGGTTGTGAACGTAATTTGTCACCCACGATATTAAAAGGTAATCAAATGGTTTTCTCGTGAAATTAGGAAATAATTTCATTTGCGTTTTGTCAAAATTCTGATAACTTCCCGAGCCTATAGGCTCGGGAAGTTATCAGAATTTTGACAAAACGCAAATGAAATTATTTCCTAATTTCACGAGAAAACCATTTGATTACCTTTTAATATCGTGGGTGACAAATTACGTTCACAACCGTAATTGTTTCTACTGGTTTATTCTATCGAAAACCGAGAACATGAAGAAGGATATAGTTTTCGTTTAAAGCATACATTATTGTTAAAGTTCGGAATTTTCTGAGTTTCGTCGCAAAAAATACCTTTCGAATTCTTCGTGCCTGTTAATAATTTTCGGCCGCTTCTTTTAATTTCGTAACTTCTTCAAGGGTCACCGTCTTAAATCTCGACGCCATCTTCGCTCTGATCGAGATACAAGAGATGTTACCATGGCAATTTTGTAATTTCACAGGTGAAATTAAAAATTAACGCTGAAGTTTCGTGCCAAAATTAAGGAGTAATTTGTCACCTATGATTTTACAGCAATAACAACATCGAAAAACATAATTCTCCATTTCAGAACCATGCCTCAACTTTAACATCTTTCATTTTCTATGAACTCACCTATGCGACATGTGAAACTAAAAATGTGAATTGAGATTTTTTTTTCTGCTGTTGATTCATTCATTTTCACAATTGTTTTCTGGGCCTACCACAAAAATCTAAATGATCAGGACCCGTGCTCGTGCTCACTGTAACTTCAATATAGTTGGGTATATTGAGAGACAGCAAAAGTGGCAATAAATGTTCTTACACAATTTCTTCAAGCTTCTTCATCTTCTTAAACCAAATAACGATACTGAGCATAGTAACTGTTTTTTATTTTTTTAGTTTAAGAGTGCACGAGAACTGGAGATTAGGTTTATCTTTATTTCTAAGGACAATCAACTCTATAAATCACTTTAGTTCTATCTGTTCTTGTTCCCAGTTTAGACCGCGGAAAGTTGGGGAGGGAAAGAAACTATTATTAACCTACATGTAATGGACTGAGACTGAGCCTGAGCCTTGGGTACGTAGATATTGCTTGTAGGAATGTGCACGTGATAAAAACATTTCAATATCACACTTACATAAAAATTTTATGCCAAATTAAGAGTTCGTCACCTCAATGAAGAACCATTTCCTAAAACAAAATACTGAACAAGGCCAGGAGTAAAAAATATGTTCATTTATGACCAAAAACAAGGGCCACTATCGCTATTTTATGGTGATCAAAGACTGCTTTCCTGTTTTGTTCTTATGAGTATATGATTTGTCTACAAAAGTTTGCAATTGGAATGGGGGGGTTTCCCGAATGTGGGGTGGAGGTGGTGTAGCACCAGAACTATGGGACGCTCAAATTTACAATTATATTTCTTTTTTTTTCTGACAGGTCATAAAAATTTTGTTAAGAGGCTGTAGTACGTTGCTGTCAGCATACTTATCCTGTTTTCTATAGCTTGTTCAAATACTGGAACTGAAACTACTCCAAGGGGAAGCACAGTCAAACATTAACACTCTTGTCGCAGACTCTAAAAAAAATCCAAGGGACAGGAAATATAGACCAGGAAAAGGATATCATCCGTTACCTTTAAACCAACCTGGAAGAGGCAAATTGCTATTGCCCAAAATATTAATTTGCAGCCCATGCGAACAGTTCGAACATAAAATGGAATGCCCAATTTGTAAAAGAGTTTACCTTTAACCTTGGCGATGGGTTAAAGTGGTGAGCAACAAACAAAAAGGAAAACCCACAAGATACACGATCTCTATGGTAACAACATTCTAGTACAAAAATCTACATTAGTTTTAGGGGAAGACTCTGCCACAAACTGATGCCTACTACACCCGTTGTATGGAATAGTATGCCCGGAGTACTGAATACAGGGATATTCCCCAATGTTTTTAACAGAAAGAAGCGGGTATACGAAAATCAAGTACGACTTCATAGAAAGAGAATTACTCCAGGGAATAAATTTCATGAAAATTAGTGAGGGCATTGCTTCCCTGAACATCAAAGATTTTATTAGGAGAAAGCAAATATACGCAGTAGCAACAAGCGAAGATAACACTTTTGATAATATCTATGTTTCTGAGTTTAATGAAATTTTAATTTTCTCTTTTGAAAGCAACGACCTTCTGATGAAAATATTTTTGACAAACTTTGATAAAAACTTCCATTTATACGAAGGGCATAGGAACAGTTTAACTGCAGAGATTAAATCATGCAACCACACCTTTAAATTCAGCCGAAAGGTTGGAGTAGTGAGGGGGAAGGACAATAAATTCGTATCGCAGTACAACCAAGTTTTAATTACTTTGAATGAATAAGCTGAAGTGTTAGGATGGCGCCTTACTAATTCGACTAAATTTTTAAAGATGGAAGACTTGCTGTGAGGAATAAAATAAAGGCTGGAAAGTAAAGACAAAACCTTAAATATGGTGTGTGTCAACGAATTACAAAACCTTAGACAACACAATTATGCGCCTCAATTAGTAAAAGCATCTCAAGTAAGGAAAGCACCTCAAGTAAGAAAAAGAGCAATATCAACATCTGGGTCGCATGCAAGGAAGGCACTGGCAGTATAGTGCACAGAAGGCTGGCTCAGTTCACTGTAAACTGCCTAAACAGGTTCCAAACCCCAAATGTGGGAAATGGTTTACCACATTCCGACGATGATACGCAACCATGGCTCACTCAAGTACTTCAGTGCTCAAGGTAAATATATATAGTTTTAATCGGTGGAATGACACTACTTTAATTCACTTTTTTTTAACCACGAACAAATGAAAACAAAACAACTAAAGAGATGAAAGTATTTAAACCTTACAGTTCTCTTACACTTTTGCCTCTGTGCTGTCTCTCGACAGGGATAGAGGAAAAGAAAGATGACTTCCGTTGTTTCATCCATTGAAAGATAAATAGATGGGATGCGTGCACAAGACTACTCCAAGTAGTAAAGCGACAAGAAATTCTGAGATTTTAAGAAAGACAGACCCAGGACTATGTGACAGGGAACTTGCATTTCTTCTGGTGTGAAGGAGGAAAGCAAGATGCAGAAAAGAAAGTACCTTGCATTTCATTTGTTGACGAAACACAAGAAGATATTGTGCAAATCCTTGATCATCCAGCTTACTAGAAATCCATCGGTAGAACTAAACAAAGAAGTTCAATATCCTTCAGTCCTTGAATAATCAGAGAAAGAACAATGAAAGCTCAAGCTAAATTAATTTCTATCTCATCTGATTGATTTCAGAAATGTAGTCCTTAACATCGATCTGAAACAAGAAATTATTACGTATATGAGCACGATCCTTCGCAGTAAAGCACTATTTGAGCAATAGTGAAAATCAGACCTGAAAAAAATTTCAGGCCTGACATTATTAATCACTGACATCGCACTGAGACAAATGTATGTTGATATGGTGAATCTGATGGTGGTGGAGACTTTGATTTTGTATGATTATTACACAATATATCGCATTGCCTACTCCTTTTTTGTATAATAATTGCTAGTGTTACCTTAGATTTTATTTTTATTTGATGTTGTAAGTTTTGTTTCACAAGGTTACTGCTTAACATGACAATGATGCATAAAAAGTGTACTGATTGGCAAAAAAACTTGATTGGAACACTGAAAATTACATCATAGAAACCCAACAACAACTTGACTCGAAGCTACAATAGCCGTTTTCCGGAGATAGTGTGAACGAGTTCAACGACGAGACGTTGCGGCAAGACCCAATCTTAAGGGCTACTCACCAACAACCAATTTATCCAAAAACAACGAATCGAGGAGGAGGAGGAGGAGGAACAGAACGTCGGGGAGTTGAGTAAATGACATCTTCGACGCCAAATCTT